AATTATCTTACAACATTAATAAATAAAATAATAAGGAATTTAATTTGATAAATAAGAAAGTAGAAGAACAAAAAACATTAGTTGATTGTGCTAGAAATATTGTACAGAGATTATTTGCTAGAAAAAAGCAAAAATGGATACAAATTCATACAAATAAATTTTTTAAAAGATAAAAAGATTTTCTTAGTTAATGAACCAGATTTAACTGAAATCGAGCTTGTTATTCCTCAATGAGCGTCATTATGTAGAAATAGAAATATTTTTAATGAAAAATATTTTTAAAAAAACATTCAAAATTATATTTTGAATTTGCTGATGGGTGATGGAACGAAGGAAAGAAATGTTACATAGTGGTTGTGATGGCGCCGTGAATGATGTTAGGGCTATGGTATCGGTAGGAAGTAAAGTGAGAAGATTGGATGGTGCTTTGTGAAAATTAATAAAAATTAAATTGAAGAAAACATTTTTTAATTTTAAAAAAGTAAGCAAACAAGCAAAATATCTTGGGAACTAAAAGGAAAAGATGTAGGAGCATTGGGGTGTATGCCATTAGATATCTTAAAAGAGTGGTTCACGATTTTAAAGGTAAAATATATACGATTTGGGATGAAATTAAATGAATTGTTTCAAATTTGTCTAAAGAAGAAAGTGGTTAATCGTCAAATGCTGTGGCAAAACCTGTTTTCATATGCCCAATCGCAAATTTAATGAATAGTCTTATAACCACTTCTTCAAACAACTTTTGAAATTGGTCTCAAAAGTTATATACTTTGATTATTTATAAAACTTTTTAAATTCATTAATTTAATGTGTATGATTTTGCTTGTTGAACCAAATAAAATAAAAAGATTAAAAGTATTTATTAGCTTTTGTTGTGAACCTTAAAATAAATACAAAAATAAGCTCGTTAACATTAAATATATTAAAAAAGAAAGAAAAAAGATTGAAGGTATATTTAGCTAAAACCTTTATAAAAAAAAGACAAAAGAAAAACAAGAAGGTTGTTAACATTAAATATATTAAAAAAGAATAAAATAAGATTGAATGTATATTTAACTTTTGTTGTGAACCTTAAAAAATAAATAAATAAATAAATAAATAAAAATTGTTAACATTAAATATATTAAAAAAGAAAGAAAAAAAATTGAAGGTGTATTTAACTTTTGTTGTGAACCTTAAAAAATAAATAAATAAATAAATAAATAAAAATTGTTAACATTAAATATATTAAAAAAGAAAGAAAAAAAATTGAAGGTGTATTTAACTTTTGTTGTGAACCTTAAAAAATAAATAAATAAATAAATAAATAAAAATTGTTAACATTAAATATATTAAAAAAGAAAGAAAAAAAATTGAAGGTGTATTTAACTTTTGTTGTGAACCTTAAAAAATAAATAAATAAATAAATAAATAAAAATTGTTAACATTAAATATATTAAAAAAGAAAGAAAAAAAATTGAAGGTGTATTTAACTTTTGTTGTGAACCTTAAAAAATAAATAAATAAATAAATAAATAAAAATTGTTAACATTAAATATATTAAAAAAGAAAGAAAAAAAATTGAAGGTGTATTTAACTTTTGTTGTGAACCTTAAAAAATAAATAAATAAATAAATAAATAAAAATTGTTAACATTAAATATATTAAAAAAGAAAGAAAAAAAATTGAAGGTGTATTTAACTTTTGTTGTGAACCTTAAAAAATAAATAAATAAATAAATAAATAAAAATTGTTAACATTAAATATATTAAAAAAGAAAGAAAAAAAATTGAAGGTGTATTTAACTTTTGTTGTGAACCTTAAAAAATAAATAAATAAATAAATAAATAAAAATTGTTAACATTAAATATATTAAAAAAGAAAGAAAAAAAATTGAAGGTGTATTTAACTTTTGTTGTGAACCTTAAAAAATAAATAAATAAATAAATAAATAAAAATTGTTAACATTAAATATATTAAAAAAGAAAGAAAAAAAATTGAAGGTGTATTTAACTTTTGTTGTGAACCTTAAAAAATAAATAAATAAAAAATAAAATAAAAAAAAATTGTTAACATTAAATATATTTAAAAAGAAAGAAAAAAGATTGAAGGTATATTTAGTTTTTGTTGTGAACCTTTAAAAAAAAAAAAAGTGGTTGTTAACATTAAATATAAAAAATAAAAATGGGGATTAAAGTGGGTTGGGGAAAATCCATACCCATTAAAAAATGGGGAGAGTGGTACCCATGGGGAATGGGGAATGGGGAATGGGAAAAATTTATTATAGGAAAATGGGGATAGGAAATTAATATCCACCCCATTGCCTCCCATTGCCATTCCTATAAATCGCGTGTTATATTTTGACATTACTAAACTTTGACACGAGGTTTAGTAGTCAAATTTGATTACCTTCTTTGTCTCTACATCTGTAATGTTGGGATCCACAACATAATAATTTATTTGATATTTTGTGAAAAAAATAAAAGAAATAACATTTGCTCTATTAAAGCAACATTATTAATATATAACATTTTAATACTATTCATTATTAAAATATAATAATAACTAGTTATTTAGCTATTGAATCATTAGAGATGCACCTACATATTTACATATTTAGTCTTACTTTCATTCTACGTGTTGATTTATTATAATTGTTTGATTATATATTGAGATTCTATATCTCAAAATTAAAATTCTTATAAATGAATAGAAACAGAATGAATTTTTTTTTAAGACAAAGAATCCCAGACCCATCTTTCCACAGAAAACTCAAACTTAACTTTGGAGTTATGAAAATTCATATGCATGCATACTATAGTTGATGCACATACTCCACCCATTTAGTTTTTTTTTGTTTTTTTGAGAACCAATAAACATCATTTAGCTTTTGTGTGATACACATTTATGCATTCACTGCATCCTTGTAACCACCTATTGGAAGCAATTAAACCTTCATGACAGGGACTTTGGGTTTGTATTTGATATTTTACATTTTACCCAAATCATCTTCCTCCTTTTTTTTTTTTTTTTTTCTAACTTCTCTCTCTGAGAGAAATTGTAAGAAAAGAAAAAAAAAAAATTATATCACATGATAATAAGACTTAAACCACAATAGTATGAAAGTGATTCATTTAGGAAAAATGATATTCATACAAAATTTAAGACTAAAAAGATGTGATAATGGTTATTTATTTATTTTTGCAATTATAAAACATAACGACATACATTTTGACTTTCTATGAATGAATATAAATGAGATATATTGGTCTATGTAAGACTATAATACACACATATATCCATTTACGACATTTATGGTTCTTGATTATGATCAATTGTAGTGTTCATTATAATATGACGTATTATAGTATTAGTTATTATTTATTATAATTACTATTTTAATTATGATCTAAGGACTCATTATTTATGCCTAAAATAATGTTTAGTTATCACAAATTTTAGTGTTGGTCATGACTTTATTATGATGTATTGTTGTCATGGCTGAGGAGGTCTATGCCATGAGTAATGTTAGTCTATTGTGATTCTTTTAGGTATTGATTGAAGTGGTTTGATTATGACATTTTATGATATGAATATTAAAATTGTCATAATTTGTATATAATACACATTTAAAAAGAGATTTGTATTGTAAAAGATCTTCTTTGTAAATTTTGTTTATATAATATTACTCCTTATCCACGTATCAATCACTAATTTCAAGGTTTGTTGAGTTGAAAAGTCAAAAATTTATTTGTCATAAGCCAAAAAATAAAAAATTTTATTCACAAAAAAAATAATATTTAAAATTTTTTTTCTCTAAACCAATCATTTTTTTATTTTTTATTTTAAATTCACAACAAATCATAAAAAAGGCTAACGCAAACCACCCTCAATAGTTAAAAAGTCAATAAACCGAGTCTCGGTTCGAAGTCTAGACATAAATAGGGGAAATATTAAAAAATAAAAAATAGTAAAATAATTTTTCTAGGGAAAGGGTTCGGTTCACTATTGATCCATTTCTCTTGAATTTTAGTCCCTACTCCTTTAATCATTGTTGGTCGCTTAAAAGGGGCGACCTTAGTATTTAATCTCATATTTAATTTGGACCTTAATTTCTCACCCTCTATAATTTCAAATACATGAATATATACCATTTTTTTCTTTTTTGTGTATAAATTAGTACATGAATAACGTATATTTTTATAAATTTCAGATTATTTTATCACCTTTTTCTTTTTTTTTTTTCTTTATTTTCCTCCAAATAAAAACAAGGTGACTTACCAGTCAATGTACATAACACTCCAGGGCATATCCGTCATAAAAAAATTACGAACCCTAAGATAGATTGACACGTGGCAAGTTGAGAGTGGTAGAAACAGACAGAAAACAAATCGGCGGTTGCAAGCGTGGGTTCAGTGTTCGGCCAGAAGTCATCTTCCTCCTTCCTCTGACATTCCACCGCTGCCTCTAAAATCTCCTATTCCTACTTTCTTAATCCTCATTGTTATAATCATATCTATATTGACCTCTTTTAAAAATTAACTATTTTAATTGATTATATTTTAATTTTTAATTATTTCAATAAGTTAAAATATTTATATTTAAAAAAATAATTAATTTTTTTAATTAAATATGATATTTATAAGAAAAAAAATAAAATAATTATAAATATAATATAATATTTTATTTTATTAATTATTTTAACTTATTTTATTTTTTTATAAATTTTAATGGGAAAAAATTTCAATCCCAACTTGCCAAACAGGGCCATTATCTGTATCAGAGTTCCCATTTTGCCCTCATCTCCTTCTTGCCCCATCAAACTTGTTTTTGTATATACAGAGACCCACCACAGCCACAGGGTAGATTTTTGTTTTTAATTTTCTCATTTCTATCCATCTCTCTATATATATACAATACTCAGAGGACAGAACACCACACTTGGGTGTCCTCTTTCATAGGTTGTCTTTGAGGTATGACTTTTCTTCTCATTTTTTGTTTTTGTTTTTTGTGTTTTTGTTTCTGTTTCATGTATGTTCAATTCATTTCCTTTTTCTACCCATTTTCTTATATAGTATATATATGGCCTTTTTCCATTGTTGGATCAGTTTTATGAAGTCAACTACAAACTTTCTTTCTATTTCTTTTCTGGGTTTTTATGTTGATTTCATATTAGTTAAGTCTGTAGTTCCTGAGTAGTTATGCTAATTTAGCCAATATGTATTGATGTTCAAAGATCTATTTAAGAAATCATCACCTCTGTTATTACATTATGTGCATATGTATATATGTAACTGTTCTGTTGTCTTGGAACTTAAAACATCAAAGTTTGTGGATAGTAATGTTTTTTTGCAAATTTGTCAGAAATATATGTCATTCTTGTTTGGATCTGAATTGGGAATAGATAGATAGGACATATATGTAGAGTGGAGGTCTGATTTTTGTAAATTGAACATCTGTTGCAGATAATTTATTTGAATTATTAAGTTATTTGTTAATTGAGGTCGTGTAAAATGCCTGGAGTTGTTGTGGAGGGAACTCTTGAAGATGGGTTTGTGAATGAAAATGGAAATTCTACACCATGTAAAGAGAATTCAGTTCAAAATAAACCCCCTAATTGTACTCTGAGTCTGCAGAGTCCTCAGAATGCTGCTGTTGTAGAAGCCCCTTTCAATGGAGTTGTTGACACTTCAATTGAGCAGCTTTATGATAATGTATGTGAGATGCAGAGTTCTGATCAGTCACCTTCTAGGGCTAGCTTTGGATCTGATGGTGATGAGTCAAGGATTGATTCAGAGTTACGCCATCTTGTCGGTGGAGAGATGAGAGAAGTGGAGATTATGGAAGAGGAAGTAGTAGAGGTGGAAAAAAGTAGAGATCATGAAAGTCATAGTGATTCGGGTTTTAAGAAGGAAAGCTCGTCCGTGGATAAGAAATTGGGGAAATTGGATAATAACCAATCAAAGAAAGCTCCTCAATTGCATTCGGAATCAGAATCATCGTTGAAATCAAACCCAAAGAGCAAAAGCCCTCAGGAGAAGCCTCCTATTGAAAAGCGGAACGATAAGGTTTCAAGAAAATCAAGAAAACCGTTGGGAGGGATGAAGTTGCAGAATGGGACCGAGGACTCATCCGAGTCCGGGTTAGAAAATCCGGATCTTGGACCATTTTTGCTTAAGCAAGCGAGGGATTTGATTTCTTCTGGGGATAATAATCCCCAGAAAGCTCTCGAATTAGCTTTTCGAGCAGCAAAATCGTTTGAGAAATGTGCGAATGGAAAACCCAGTTTAGACTTGGTCATGTGCTTACATGTTACTGCAGCAATCTACTGTAATCTAGGCCAGTATAGCGAAGCAATTCCAGTTCTTGAGCATTCAATCGCAATTCCAGTGATTGAGGATGGCCAAGATCATTCACTAGCTAAATTTGCGGGTCATATGCAACTGGGTGATACATATGCAATGCTGGGGCAGCTTGAGAACTCTATCGCGTGTTACACAACAGGTTTGGAAGTTCAGAAACAAGTTTTGGGAGATACAGATCCAAGAGTTGGTGAGACTTGTAGGTATTTAGCTGAAGCTCATGTCCAAGCATTGCAATTCGATGAGGCAGAGAAGTATTGTCGAATGGCTCTCGACATTCACAAAGAGAACGGTTCACCCGCTTCGCTCGAAGAGGCAGCAGATAGGAGGCTCATGGGGCTTATATGTGAAACTAAGGGCAATCACGAGGCTGCTCTTGAGCACCTTGTTTTGGCCAGCATGGCTATGGTGGCAAATGGGCAGGAAACGGAGGTGGCGTCTGTGGATTGCAGCATCGGAGACACTTACTTATCGCTGACTCGCTATGATGAGGCGGTTTTCGCATATCAGAAGGCGTTGACAGTTTTCAAGTCCTCCAAAGGCGAAAATCACCCATCAGTTGCTTCAGTTTTTGTGCGCTTGGCTGATTTGTATAACAAAACGGGCAAATTGAGGGAATCAAAATCATATTGTGAGAATGCCCTTCGTATTTATACAAAGCCCATTCATGGGATTCCTCCAGAAGAGATTGCCAGTGGTCTCACGGATGTTTCTGCTATTTATGAATCAATGAATGAGCTCGAACAGGCGCTGAAGTTGTTACAGAAGGCGTTAAAGATATATAATGATGCCCCGGGGCAGCAAAGCACGATTGCAGGAATTGAAGCCCAGATGGGAGTCATGTACTATATGTTGGGAAACTACTCTGAGTCTTACAACTCGTTTAAGAACGCGATTCTGAAGCTTCGGGCAAGTGGGGAGAAGAAATCTGCCTTCTTTGGGATCGCTCTTAACCAGATGGGGCTTGCTTGTGTGCAGCGTTATGCTATAAATGAGGCTGCGGAATTGTTTGAAGAGGCGAGGAGTGTTTTAGAACATGAGTATGGACCTTATCATCCCGACACGCTTGGGGTATATAGCAATCTTGCCGGCACATATGATGCTGTTGGCAGGTATGCACCCTTTTACATTTCTGTAGTTTCTCTAGTATCATTTTTATTTCTGTATTTTTTTTTACTATCATGATATTATTGTTTTATAATTGACAGTTGGAAAGTGTTTTCTCTTCATGCAAAGGAGGGTTGTATAAACTACTTAGTGATTTACCAATCTGTCTGGACTTGTGATGATTCACTGGCCATGTCAAGTAGTATTTCGACCTACTAAATTCAGGGATTAGATTTTCTTTATATTTCACCCTTTTCATATCAAACTTTGGACTAAAATAAATGATAAAGCTGTCCTTTGCTTTTTCATTCCTTTTTTTCACCTTTGGTATAAAGCAATACTCGGACTTATTCAAAAGGGTAGAATTTGTTCACTTTGTCATGAATTTTGTCGACTAGATAATTGCATAAATCAGAGAGACGTTAAAGTTGCAGAGACTTGTGTTATAACAAACGAAAAACCAAACAATCATAAAGAAGGTCATCATCTATTGTTGTGCTGTCATCTGGGATGCCGGATAGGGTGGTCTTAAAATATACATAGAGATTCTGGTTACCGATGACTTGAAAGTTCAGGGAAGAAAGATTTTATCTTACACTATATGTAAATAAAAATATAAAATATATTATAAAGTGAACAGCCCAGTTTAATGCTAATTCTTATTCCAAAATTATCCAAACAATACTTTATTTTTATTTTTATTTTACATACAATTGTTTAAACCATTCCAATTAGCAATTGTCTGGGCAACAATGGCAGAAAACCACATCCCAAAATATTTCAGTTTCACACTCTCCATAAACCACCTCTCCCACTATTTGATTTTGCACACACTCAATGTGTTAGGCTATGCAAAGCTGAGTTATGCATTTTTACAAATTATATCTAGTTGATCAGTCTGTATTGTCCTTCTTTTAATGCATTTGTTTTGTTATATAGGTTGGATGATGCAATTGAAATATTGGAACGTGTCGTTGGGATGAGGGAGGAAAAGCTTGGGACAGCAAATCCTGATGTGGAAGATGAAAAGAAGCGGTTGGGTGAGTTACTAAAAGAAGCAGGAAGGGTCCGGAGTAGAAAATCCAGATCATTAGAGAACCTCCTTGATGCCAACCATAATCTTACTATAAACAAAGATGGCATTAAGGTATGATGATAATAAGGATGTTTTTATTATTGGGAATTGTGTATATAAGAGAGAATTTTTAAGCAAGAAAAGGAAATAAGAAAGATGAGGAAGTATAGGTGGTTGGTGTGTTGATTAGATTCTTGTTTTGGGATCAAATTAAATAACCGAGTGGGGGTTATGCTTATGCTTGTAATATTTGATTTATATGATCATTATACTTGTCAAAGGTGGTTCTATTTTGTATTGCATTGTTTAAAATATTTTGTAAAAAATTTCTTGGTGTTTATTTGTATATTTATGTTCAATGATTGATGGAATTTCAATGTTCTTACTTGCTGTTACTTTTACTGGCTTGTGCCTCTCAAAATCATAGAATATCTCTGCATTTGAGTGATTTGTGATTGATGAGCGCGTTCAAGTTGCATAATATATTTATTTTTGTTAGATTAGATATTCGTCCTTAATAGCCGACACTGGGGTATAATTTGGGATCATTTATGTTTGGTACTTTTGTATGAGGATGAGATGAAATCATGAAAGAATGACCGAATGTTTTGCATGGGTGTGGGGTTTATACCTATGTGTGATATTTGATAAAAAATTTGAAGCACATAGGTAGCGTTTGGTAATGTTTATGTTTTTGGTTTATGTTTACAAAAATTTTATAAACTGGTTTTTGTTTATTTTTAGAAAAACATAATTACAAACGCGTTTGGTTTGAAAAAAATGTTTAAAAAATATTAAAATATAAACTAAAAATATATTTGTTCAGGACTAAAATATTTATATTTATATTTATTTTTATTATTTATGACAATGAGATCACACACATTACAATTGAAAAAAAATTTAATTGAAAAAATAAATAATGAATTGAAAAAAAAAATTAAAAAAAATTAATTGAAAAAAAAAATAAAAAACTGAAAACATAAACCCAAAAAATGAGTTTATGTTTTTTCTTTAAATTTATAAGGAAATTAGTGGGTACCCATCCCCAACCCATCCCTTGTGGATATTTAAAGAATATCACTTACCCTACCCAATAGATAAAAAAAAAGGAAAAAACCCATGTATTTAGGTTGGGTCTCCATAAATACCCATAGAGTAGGTTATCCATTGCCATCCCTAATCATAGGTTGTTGGAAATACGTGACTATACTATGTATGTGCCCACCACTTCTTTACAGAGTTGTCTCGTGAACCCCTTGTGAACCCCTCGCGGAGGGACAGTCCAGCGCACGAAATTCATGCTAGGTAGTAGGGTTACAAATGAAATGAGCTTTATAGGGTTTAAGCTCAATTAACTTGTTAACTATTATATTATATTTAATATAATACATTTTGTGTCATTACTATATAAATAATATATTTATTTTATTATTAAAATAAACAATAAATGAATCGTGTTTTAAGAGTCAAGCTAATTTTAATTTGAGTTTAGCTTGTTTATTAAACAGGCTTAAAAACTTGGCAAGTTCGCATATATACATTACGAGCCAAGCTGAGCTTGCGGGTAGTTTTGTTTATGTGGAGCCCTCATTGTGAGGTCCAAGAAAGGTTGAATGTATACAATCTTACTCAGCATGATTAAATGAATTAAAAATAGGGTTGTGCAAGATACTTTCTAAATTATTAAGTAGTATGATTTTGATCCTTTAAATTTTAAAAGTGTACAAATGGATTTTCTATATTATTGAGAAGTATTATTTTGTCCCATAAATTACAAAGAGAAATGTTTAGGACTCCCTTTTTTGGGGTTTCATGACCCCCAATTTGATCTGGACCCTTAATGTTAGGGCTGAGCAAGGAATCCGTAAAATCTGTAATCCGATCCGATCCAGTCCAATTCGATAGGTTTGGATTGGTTTTTTGAATCCGTGGTTCGGTTCCGGATTGAAAATCTCAAAATCCGTAGGCCACGGATCGGTTCCGAATTGAACTCCACGGTTCCGGATTGGAACCGATCCGGACCATCTAGAAATAATCTATATTTATACTATGTACCTTCCCACACAATATAATTTCTTGTCTCCTATAAAACTAAAATGTAACCTAATTCACGCCTCACTCATTCACGCCTCATTCAGTTCTTTGTCTCTCACTCTCATCTCATCTATCTCTCTGTCGATGGTGTCTCTCTGTCTTTCTTCTCTTTCTCATCTCACACTCTCATCCATCTCAGATCAGATCGATGTGCCGCCCGTCTCTCTCTCTCGGTGAGGTCTCTCTCTCTCTCTCTCTCTCGATGACACTATTTTTGTTCCTTTGTTTCCAGATCATCCATCGGTGTGTTGCTCCTCTCTCTCTTTCATGTCATCTACAATGGATTCGGTAAATGTAAGTAAGAGATTTTATTTTTATTTTTTCTGTTTTCTATTTTTATCCTTCCATTTTCTTCTTTCCTCTGTTTTTGGTGGTGATGGTGTTTTTTCTTGAGAAAAAGTTGAGAGCTTTATTGGAATCTGTTCTTTTCTTGATGTAACTGTTCATGGATTTCTTGCTTTTGGTTTATGGGTTTTTGCTTTTTCTGGATTTAGGATTCTATTGGCAATTTTGCAATTTTATGTGTACTTCAACTCAAGCTAGGTCTCTGGATTCATGTAGTTGTTTGATTCTTATGCTGTGTTTTAAGTTTTGATAATCCTAAACCGACACTTCTAGGTTCTGGGTTTCGGAAATATTTTCTTTATTCCAGCTAATTTTAGGATTTGGATTTGTAGGCTTGTTCTTGGTGTTGAGTTTTGAGTTCCAAGAATCATAGCATTCCAAAATTTATAATCAATTTTGTGGAATTTCCGTACTATTAGGGGAGCAAGAGTTTTGAAGTACTAAGATAAATGAATTTCAATAATCAATTTTGCATTTCAGTTTTGCAATTTGGCTTTGAATTTCAGTCTTGGGTGTTACTAAGATCTTGTTTGAATTTTAGTCTTGGGTATTGTTTGAATTGATAAATGAATAGACTTGTGTATATATGTATTAATTATTTAAATCCGTGGTCCTAAACCGATCTAATTCGTGTTTCAACGGATTGGTTCAGATTGGTTCCACAATTTAAACGGATTGGATTGGTTTTAATTTTTCAAGAACCGTAGATAACGGATTGGTCCTGATTTTCTCTCAATCCGGACCAATCCGGACCATGCTCACCCCTACTTGATGTGTGTGTGGGGTCCACTCAAAAATGTGTGAGCCCTACATTATGAGTGGTTGGGATGAGAGTAGGGGTTGTGGGGGTCATGCATGTGTGGGATCTCTATCATAATTGAATTATAAAAACGTGTAATGGACCTCCTAAATTGTTGACGTGTTTCACTTTGACTCATTCCATTAACTATTTAATTTGTACGTTCTTATAATTTCGAAACATTTGTATGCTTTTATAATGTAGAAAGCAAAGTGATATTTCCCAATAGTTTTGAGAATTTATTTGTACACTTTTATAGTTTTGGGAGTCAAAGTGATAATTTTTCAATAGTTTAGAGGATTTTGATGTAAATAACCCATAAAAATACATTAATGAGCATTGATTTGATTGAATAAAACTACGGTGGAAAGAAAATAAAATTATGAACTATGACTTGATGAATTATACAAATCTAGAATTTGGATGCAAATATATATATATATATATATATATATATATTTTGGGTAAATTACACTTTATCCCTCTAAAGTTTTACTCATTTTTTACTTTGGCCCTTTAAGTTTAATTTTTCTCACTTTGACCTTTCATGTTTGCAATTCTTCTCACTTTACTTCTAGATTAACTTTTATTAAAAAAACTAACAGAATCTGCCACATCATCAACACATTAACTCCATGTGTGATGTAAAAATTCACTAAAGATGCAAAAAATGAAAAATAAAAAACAAAAAAATTAGAATTTTTTTTAGTCTTTAGTATTTTTTTTTTTCAAATTTATTCATAAACATTAGTACATTATTGATGCATTTAGATTAGATGCATCTAAAGGAATAAAAAAAATTAACTAAAAAAAGAAAAAAAAAGTTCACTAAAGACGAAAAAAAAAGATAGTAAACTTTTCATTTTAGAATTGAAAATACAAGTGTTTGAATCAGTATATTTTCATTTTTTTCGTCTTTAATAAACTTTTTTCTGTTTTTAGTTAAATTTGTTATTTTTTTAGGTGCATCTAATCTAGATGCATCTATAATGTAATAATGTGTATGCAAAAATTTGAAAAAAAAAAGTTCACTAAAGACAAAAAAATTTTCAATTTTTATGTTTTCTATTTTTCATTTTTTATCACATGGAGCTAATGTGTTGGTGATGTCGCAGATTCTGTTAGTCTTTTAAATGGAAGTTAGTCTAGGGGTAAAGTGATAATGATTACAAATATGAAGGGTTAAAGTGAGAAAGATTACAAACATGAAGGCGAAAGTAAGAAAAATTAAACTTAAAGAGCCAAAATGGAAAAGATTGTGAACATGAAATGCCAAAGTAGAAAAAATCAAACTTGAAGGGCTAAAGTAAGAAATGAGTGAAATTTTAGAGGAGCAACGTGCACTTTTTTTTTACCTTTTTTTTTCTTCTTCTTCTGGGTGCTTGGGTTTAGTAGTTATAGGTATAAAGGATTGATTAGCATATTAAATCTAGCAGGTTGAGATATATATCAGTGCCACCTACCTAAAAAATTACTCAGAATTTACAATTAAAGACTGAAAGTCATTCTTGATAGATTAGTCCCACAACAAACACTTCAAATATACACTTTAGATTTGCATTCTAAATAAATTTTTGATTATTTCTTTTTGGGTGCACAAACTTATCCAATTTATATTTTTAGGCTTTGTTAAAGTCACACGAGTGGCTTAACTTTTACCACATTTAGCTCATTGTTTATGGCCCACCAAAAAAAAAAAAAAACTCTTTTTTTAATTACCAAAAACCCCAATCATCTATAAGTCCTAATAAGATGTCTCATTTTAATGTTTAATATGATATTTAAAAATAATTTGAGCCGCTACTGATTAAAGTCCATAGGTGAATAAGCTCAAAATTCTGATAACCACCATCGGATTAGTCAATTACTGAATGGGTTAGTGCCAATCCCAGCACAAGCCCTACCCTGCTAGAAGCTCAAGTTCTCAATACACTGTTTGTGCCATGAGATTTTTCTTTATTTATTTCCTTCTTGGCTGAGCATCTATGACAAATTTATCGAGGCTGATGTTGAATTTGTGGAGGAAAGGAAAATTGTAGGCAAATGTGAGAAAAAAAAAAAACAAAAAAAACCAAAGTTAACTTTTTGGATAAATTACAAATACACCTCTTAAGATTTGCTTGAAGTACAGATTGTCTCAC